CTCCTCCTTCCTCCTGTCTTTAGTCTTATGGACAACAGCTCATTGAACGCTGACAGTTGATCCATTAAGCGTTTCTACACCATTGGTGCATGATAACCGTCGCGTTAGAGTTACGCCAGCTGCAGCTGCCGCTTGGGCAGCCTTCTGTTCAAATTGTGCAATTTTGGCATGGATTTCCTTTGCCGGATTTGCAACCTCAGCAGGAGCAGGAGCAGGAGCAGGAGCAGGAGCAGGAGCAGGAGCAGGAGCAGGACTAGGAGTAGAGGCAGCAGCAGGAGGAGCACCAGGAACAGAAGCTGGAGCAGGAGGAGCAGTATGAGCAGCAGCAGCAGGAGGAGGAGGAGCAGGATGAGGAGGAGCAGGATTAGAAGGAGCAGGGGAGGGATCAGGAGCAGCAGCAGGGCTCGCGTGTTGCGAGTTAGTTCTAGTACCTTCTTGGGCTTCTGCTACAACTGCCTGTGCTTCAGTGATGACTGACGGGCTGTCATCCGCAGCATACAAGATCTTCTGAACAGCCATTACAACCTGCAATTCAAAGACAAAACGGAATACAAACGATGAATAGAAAATACATTTCTAATCGTGCTTGGGCCAGGCAGCCAACAGGGGCACAAGTGGCAAATCATTCCAAAAAAGCGAAGCAATCAATGGTGCGGTTTCAAGATCCTACGGCCATAATGGGAGGAAGCACGAATTAAGGTTTTCATTCCGTTGTTCTTCCATAAGGTATGCTTGCTGAGTCGCTGACCCATTTCCCAGACAATCAATAATAAGTTTTCCCTCCCAAGAGCAACGACGAAGGAACCCTGGTAGTCCTGGACCCCAGGTAACATCAGACTCATCATCAGCTCACTTAGAATTTCAGCTAAGTTGTGGGTGCTGAACAACTGACCGGTTGCAGATTTTATGATTCCATGAACCGCTGTCCCGCCCCAATACATGTCCAATTTTCCCTCCCTCCCCCCTTCCCCCTCAAAAAAAGTCTGAACTTCAGAAAACGACAATGAAAACAGAAATCGACACCTGTGGTTTGGAACAAACCTGCCCCAATTTCCCTCCAACTGTCATGGTGCTTTTTCAGACCTGCACCCAGTCAATACCGCACCTTCATAGATAGGGAGACTTCAAAGAGCCTTTCCCACGCCCGAGAGAGTTGTATGTATGAGAGGAAACTTGCGCATGCGGCTTGGGAAGAGTTGAGTAAATCGACGGTATTGAACGAGCAGGTCGCAGTTGGCAGGCCTCTGCCGAGCAAACTCTTCCCAGGCAACTGCGACCTGGACTCCGTGTGAATGACCAGACGGGAAGGAGCCTATATCGACGGTATTGAAAGAGCAGGTCGCATACTTCAGCAGTACGAATCCACCGGTGCTCGGTCCGGTGAGACTATGAAACTAATATATGGATGGGATGGGAGGGGATGGAGCGAGAG